CACCCGTGTTTTAATACCATCTAAGAGTCCTTAGTTAGAAGAGGACTTGTCCGCATTGCAGGTGCAAAGCCTTCAGCTCCGCAGCCTAACACCAATAAACCTTTTCTGCCCTCCTCAGGGCTTCCCTTTGTCGAAATACTTTCTCCCTTTGTCATTTCCACCCCCTTCCCCTCGTCCTTTTCAGACGTACAGCACCATGCAGCTAATCTGATTATGCTAATTTGTACTTCATGATCCCAAACACGGTAATGGGATCCAGGGAGGGTGCCCCACGCAGGGGCTGGTGGGACGGCGGTGGCAGCAGCAGCAACAATGGAGGACAATGCGCCTGCGAGTCAGTTAACAATAAAGCATCTTCTGTCTCAGAAGACAAAGCTCACTCTGGGAAGCCTGCAAAGCTCTTGAGAATTTAGAGTGGTCCAAGCAGGCCGCTGTTAAATTGGGTAGGAAAGGTGGAACCATCAGTTTCGCGGTGTGGGGCACAGTGTTGTTTCCTGTTGCAAGCTCTTTTTCTTACTTTAAACAATAATAGAAAAGTCTATTCCTTGCCACTGTGCACAGCATTGCACATCCAATAGCTGCTTCTGCAGGAGACAGCATGTTATACTTCCTTAAGCATGTATCCAACACCATTCATTGGAAAAATGGGACCAACTTGTGACTGCTTATTTTCTTAATATGGTGCCTTCTTTCAGCATGTAACCCAAAGTGACTTACCTGTGGTTCCCAGGTAGTCACTCACCTGGAAAAGGACCAGACCTGCTTAGGTTCTGCAATGTGGCATCCTCATGCGCCTGGGACTGTAAAATACCCACATTGGGTTGTATCAATCGCTGTGTGTGAGTGGTCATGTTGTGTGGATGCCTGATTATCATCTTCCAAAGCAACTACTCTACTCCGAACTTGAGAATGGTAAGCATAATGCTGGTGGTCAACAAAAGAAGTTCAAAGACCATCTCAAGGCAAATCTTTAAAAATGTAGTATGAACACTGACAACTGGAAAACACTGGCCTGTGAGCGCTCCAATTGGAGAACAGCCTTTACCAAAGGTGTCATGGGCTTTGAAGACGCTCAAACTCAGGACGAAAGGGAGAAATGTGCTAAGAAGAAGGCACGCTTGGCAAACCCTCACCATGATCAACTCCTGCCTGGAAACCTATGTCCCCAATGTGGAAGGATGTGTGGATCCAGAACTGGCCTCCACAGTCACTTATGGACTCACTTTTATGGAAGACAATCTTACTCGGCTATGAGTGATTGCCAATGAAGAAGAAGTGAGTGCACTACACTTGTGCAATGGGACTTCTTCTTCTTCCTAACCCCCCCCCCTTTTAGGGTGTGCATGGGTGGGGGGGGCCTGCTGGAGAAAAGAAAGGGTTCCATTGCACAAGCAGAAGTCTGTTGCATGAACACGACGGCAGCATTGAATGTATCCCACAAATTACAGGCCGGCAGCCAAAAGTGTGACCAGTTATTTCAAATGAAAAGGTGAACTTCAGCTTTCCTCCCTTTGCAGCTACATGGGCATTTGATGAATCTCTCTACAGGTTACCCCGAAAAAGGGAGAGAAAATGGAATTGGGAGTTCTAGATGAACAGTCAGACTGCATACCCTTAATAAGAAACAGGTGTTTTGAGCAAATGTAAGAGACAAAGGTTGTTACATAGATGATGAAGGGAGCAGGTGGCGTTGTGGTCTAAACCACTGAGCATCTTGGGCTTGCCGATCAGAAGGTTGGCCATTTGAATCCCCGCGACGGGGTGAGCGCCCGTTGCTCGGTCCCTGCTCCTGCCAACCTAGCAGTTCAAAAGCACGCCAGTGCAAGTAGATAAATAGGTTCCGCTCCAGCAGGAAGGTAAATAGCGTTTCCGTGTGCTCTGGTTTCCATCACGGTGTTCTGTTGTGCCAGAAGCGGTTTAGTCATGCTGGCCACATGACCCAGAAAGCTGTCTGTGGACAAACGCCGGCTCCCTCAGCCTGAAAGTGAGATGAGTGTCACAACCCCATAGTCACCTTTGAGTGGACTTCAGGGGTCATTTACCTTTACCTTTTACATAAATGATAGGGGATAGATGATGATTTACGAGCTACAGGGCAGGTTAGTCGATTGGATGTGCACTACATTAATAAGAGTTATTTATTTATACGTTTGTATATAAGGAGGGAACACCCCACTCATGTGCCTACAATCTAGGGCTTTGGTATCCACCAACAGAAATCTCTTTTAACTATCACCAGAGGGAATGGTGCAGAACCTTGCAATCTGCTGTCAAGCAACAGCTCTCAAAAGGCTGTGATGTGCTTCCTAACTGGCTTGTCCCTCTGTACCATTGGAAATCTCCTTTTGATCTTTTCTCTTTAACAATTTGTTTGAAAACAAAGCTACACTTCCTCCACAATCCATTTCTCTCCAATCCTCTTTTCCCCTTCTTTAGACTGCAAGTCTGTGCTCTTCCGCTGTGTCTTTTGTTATTAAAAACACGCACATACATACCCATACCCATACCCATACGTAGATGACTGTAAGTACTATACAAAGAACAAACACGCCATAGATGCACTTCTGCAAATCGGTTCAGCTCTCATTCCTGGACTGGCTGCTTGCAATTCCATTGCCTTTGCTACAGAACTGCCTTTGTGCCTTTTCATATCTGTTCTGCCCAGCTTTTACTGACCTTGGCTCCTCACCATCCCTCCTCTATTGTCATGCTACTGACAGTCTTTCTATCAGAAACCAGGTTCCCATTGAGCCGGCTTGACCATAATAATTGCTTTAAATATGTATCGATTGTAAAATGGGACACCCTAATCTGACCCAATCCAAACTTGGTATAGGGGTGTATTCTTCCTGATGGGCTAAGCTTCTGGGACAATGTCAGCTTTGCCTTTAAAAAACAACAACAACAACCAATGTTTCTGAAATGTTTACAAGGAAACATAAAGGCCCCTAAAGAAGGTATGTTTGGGACTGAACAATCAAGACGGATGTTGGCTAATATGGACCAAAAGTAATGAGTTTGATGAGTTGTAGCCGAAACAGGAAGCAAGCTCATCAAAGAATGTACAACTGTGAATATTCATATCAGCAAATAACAATTCAGATGTGTTTTCTAAATACGAAACGGGGGGGGGGGCATGGAAACCACCCAAAAGAATTCCTGTGGCCAGTTATTCTTTGTGGGTCAGGCACTGGTCCCAATTGATCCCTGGGCAGTAAATTGAGCTCACCAAACCGTGCATACCTCTGACACCTTCTATATGCCCCAAGTAACTCATATGTGTCAGTTGCGACTCTGCTACTTTGGATTTGTGTAAGGGGGAAAGGGATTTTTTCAGCTTTTATAAAATTAAAAATCCAAATGGGCCCCCTTCCAGCTGTGAAAAAAGTATGGGAAAAAAGATCCCATGTATAACTGAAGACAAAACGTGGGACAAACTGTGGTCTAGCTACTTTGGGAAGACAGTTTCACCTAATATTGAGGAGACTGCCAGAAAAATCTTACATCGGTTGTACAGGATGCCAGTGCAATTGGCTTGCAATTGGCTTGCATGACTTCCACAATCAGTTTCACAAATCTGTGTCCAAGAAGAAAGCAACACCTGGAAACAGCTGGGATGAACAGCAGATTTACTTCTAAAAGACTGCAGCTAAGGAGAAAGTCACATTTATGAAAAAGGAGAATCTGGATAAGTTTGAAGACATCTTTGTAAGGCTTTTTCAACCTTCTTGGGGACTGAAAGAGTGTGCAGGAACATCTCTGATTACTTGAGGCAGCTGGAATCTCAGACAAAAAACCTCCTTCCTTTCTTCAGTTCTTCCTCCTGTCCATTCCATTCTTTTTACATATTTGTTAATTTAGTTAAGTGTTATGTGACTTGAGTATCTTGAGAAGGGTGGATAGACATCTGAAGAGTGCCTCAACTTTTATGAGAGTGTGTTGGATGGATTAGGAAAGGGAAAGGTTGTTATTAATATGGACCCATATTAATATTTCAAACGCACAAACAACCTCTCCCCCCCTGTGAATTATCAGAATACAAATCCCATTACTGTTGAAGCCAAAAAAATATACTATTTGCTGCAGTGTATGTCTGCAGGTTTATGTTCTAGGAAACAGATATTTTCCATAGTTATTTTCCTTATGAGTAAAATTGTGAACAAACTGTTTACAGTAGCTTGAATCAACTTTGGTAGGATTAGCAAAGACCAGATATAATTTATTTGCCATCCAGACTGGGCCCTAGGTTGCCAGTTATCCACCTCCATCCTAAACTAACTCCTTCCTCTTTCCTGTACTTCGTCAGTTTAGGAAATCAGGCAGAACTATATTTACATTTCTTAGACATGAATGTGATGCCACTCAGTGGGTAAAAAGCAGTATTGCAAAGAGCACAGTGATGTGCTTTCACACTTCCCATATGAGTATGTCAGATATTGTTATATATCTGACCTTGGTAAGCATTCTTAATATTAATTATGAATATTTTGGCACCATAAAGAGCAAACAAATTATTGGAGCATAATAATTAGAATGGGCATTTCCCCTAAATTTTAGAACTCAGTTTCTATAGCTATTAACTATTGTAAAGGTAAAGGACCCCTGACAGTTAAGTCCAGTCATGAACGACACAGCTGTACACAGCTGTCATTTCAGCACCAGATGAAAAAAAATATATTTGCACCCAACCTGTGCAGAACTTGTCAGAACAAAGGTGGCAACCCTAGACTGAAGATCTGCATCAGGTACAGAGGGGGAGCAGAAATCAATAATTATCTGCATTAGGATTTGCCACCCCTGTTTCTTCTGCTGCCTGAGGCAGTTGCCTCACCTTCCCCAACGGGAGGACCGGCCCTCACCGCCTCCCCCTCTGAGCGTCCCTGCCTGAATGCGCGGCCACCCTCCTGTCCCCGCCCACCGCCCGGCAGCCCGGCCAATCGCCTTTCATTCCAGCGCAACGTTGGGGGGGGGAGAGAGATGGAAGGGGCGGGGCCAACCTCTGCCCCGCCCCCGCGGCGCGAGCGCTCTTCCCGCCCGACGGCGGTTTGTACGGGACAAAAAACTATGCGCGGGATCCGACTGGGACCGTTCGCGCCCCTTTTTGGCCTGAGGCGATGAAGAGAGAGCGGGCGGAGGGGCCCTTCTAAGCCCCGCCCCTCGCTCGTTTGGCTCTTCTCGCCCTCCCCCGCCCCCCCTCACGTTCCCGCTTTAAATCCGTCGCCGGCGCATGCGCGGCGGAGTCCGCCGCGATGGAGGAGCTCCTGGGGCAGGTGGCGCTTCGCTTCTCCCGCCTGCCCATGTTCCCTTTCTTCGACCTGGCGCATTACGCGGCCTCCGTCCTGTCGCTGAAGGAGCAGCCGGGTGAGTGAGGGGGAAGGCGGGCGGGCAGCGGGGATGGCGGCGCCGGAGGAGCCCGCCCTCGCGTCTGGCCGTGCCTCCTGGGCATGTGCAGAGTGCCTTCCCTTGTGGACGAGCGCGGTTAGCTGCGAGGCGAGGGCTCGCTCAGCTCCACGCCGCTTTTCTCTTTTTTAAATTGTATGTTGCATGCCCGCACGTTTTATAAAGAAACACAAACACCCCTTTTTTAATTTTTTGGCGGGGAGGGAGAAAAGTAAGCATTTTTTTCTATATTATATTTTCTGTTTTACATTTTAGAATGTTCATTTAAATAACCTTAAAACATCAGTGACTTCCCTTCTGCTCTTTCCATGGTTCATTTTGCATACCATAAATCCACGCATATTTTACATAAACTAAGCTATTCCATTATTACATCCATCAAAACTTGTTACTTTTGCCTGCTGCGTAGCTGCCCAGAGTGGCTGGGGAAACCCAGCCACATGGGCGAGGGATAAATAAAAAAATAATTATTATTAGTTTATGAAATTTGAATCCATACGACTTGGTGACAGACGCATGCATGGTTCGTTGGACGGCTTTGACAGGTAGCCGGATTAGGTAAATTCCTGGAGGATATAAGTCTTATCATTGTATCCTGGAGTTCTGCATCCAGTTCTGGGCACCACAGTTTAAGAAGGGATGTTATGCAGAGGAAGGCGACTAAAGACATAGGAGCCGACTCCTAGGGGCAAAGGAGTCTTCAGTCCCCACATAAAATATTTGAGTTAATGGGCATTGCCATTCAAATGGTGGATGTTTGCAACACCATGTGATCAGTTATGTGGGGCGGGGCTTACCTGGCTCACCCAATATTTCAATATTGGCACCCCTGGACCAAGATGATAGAGGGTCTGGAAATCAAGCCTTATGAGGAACAGTTCAGATAGCTGGGCATGTTTAGCCTGGTAAAAAGGAGACATGATAGCCACCTCCAGATAGCTAAAGGGCTGTCACATGGAGGATAGCGCAGGCTTGTATTCTCCAGCTCTGGAGGGTAGGACCTGAACCAATAGATTTAAGTGACAAGGAAGAAGATTCTGACTAAATATTAGGAAGAACTTTCTGACAGTAAGAGCTGTTCGACAGTGGAATAGTCTCCCTTGGAAGTTGATGGACTTTCCTTCATTTGAGGTTTTTAAGCAGAGGTTGGTTTGGCCATCTGTCTTGGATGCTTTAGCTGAAATTCCAGCACTACAGGGGGTTGGGCTAGATGACCCTTGGGTCCCTTCCAGCTCTACAGTTCTATGATTCTGCCAGTGACTGTTAGCTGTGTTTGTTGTATGGAAGTCCATACTCAAAGCTAATACACAACAATGCCTGTTTCTGAAGAGCAACTGTTGCCTTCATCTCCTGCCTGTGTGCTTCCCATACACGTCTGGTTGGTCACTGTGAGAAAGAGGATGCTGGACCTGATAGGGCTTTGGTGTGATCCAGCAGGACTTTTGTTCTAATTGGAAGTAACAACAGTGCTTCTGATCATGTGCAGAGTTGCTTTCCCCCCTTGCACCAAGGGTGGTGAACCTGTGACCCTCCAGGTGTTGGAAGTTAGGGCTCCCAGCTTCCATCATCCGCAACTGTTGGTCATACTGGCTGAGGCTGGTGGGGGTTGTAGTCAAAGACCTGGAGGGCACCAGTTTGAGGAATGGTACCCTGCACTTTGAGACTAAAATCTGCTCATGTATCAAGAACAGCTGTTGCCAGAGGTTAAATTTGTGGCTAGGTTCAGACTGTCCTAAAAGCTTTTATTTATTTAGCATTAGCAGGTTCTCAGGGTGGCTTACGAAAGTTAAAAATAAAACCAATGGGAACAAGAACATTGAAATACCACAATTTAAAAGCAGCTGGCAGAATTAAAGCAAATGCCAAGCCGCACACACAAAAAACATTCAGGGTTTTTTAAAAGGCTGGCAAAAGCCTGTTGCTGAAATGACACAAATACGAGTGGCTTAGTGCTTTGGCATAAAAGCAATATGCAGAGTGGATTTGGAGTGTGTATGGAGCAGATTTGACTAACATCACATATCAATGAATGGATTAAAGTGATGACTCTTATTTTGTTATGCTGTGCTTTCTTTAATGAAATTCCAAGTAGCACTTGGCTTCAGCTAGGTTGTTGCTGCATCATGTGGCTTTAGGGTCTGAACTGCTTCAGGGCACAAGTCGTGAAACTCTGTAGTGCAAGGATGGGGAATCTGTAGCTCTCCAGGTGCTGGGCTACAACTCCCACCATTTCTGGTTGGGGCTGATGGGAACTGGAGTCCCACAAGAGCTGGAAGCCTGCAGGTTCTCCAACCATGCACTGTAGAGTCTCACGATGTCTGCCATGGACCATTTCAGAACCTTTAAGAGTGTTTGAAATCTCTCTTCAGAAATTAAAAACTGGGTCTATACTGGGGATAGCTGAGCATGTCACACACACCCCAGTCTTCTCCTTGGCCCATAATAGCCCTCATGATGATATACAATCATGGTTGTGTACTTGTACAAAAAGATCCCTTTCCACAACACTCTGTTCACCATGGCCTTGACTCTCAACAAGTACTATTGAGGCACCTCAGCCTCAAACAGGTGTGTTTAGGCAGACAAAAGGAAGTACTATGTGACTTTGCTTTGGTAGTGTTGAAAATGCACCGCATTTGCCTGCATTTTGCAGGAGTGGAACTGCTATAGGCAAATTCTGAATGGGGGAAACAGTGAAAGCGATATGCTTCTATGGTATAGGCACACTTACGTGCAACTTCTCTGCTCAGAATCCTTCAGCTGCTTTCTCTCATTTTGGAAAAGACAGAGCTGTGTGTGACATGAAGTTGGCCCCTTAGCAACCTTATCTTCACCACTTGGCCGGAGCACACACTGCATGCCTTCATGGTGTCTCATCATTAGTGGGGTAAACCCAACTGACAAGACCATGTTCAGATTGATGATACAAAACACTAAATTTAGTTCATCATTCTACCCACAATATAGCTATAAATGGCAACTTTAAATGGCAAGCCATTGAAGCAGCATAACAGTATAGTAACAACATGCCCATGCTATAATCAACAACTTGAATTTTTGGACCCACAAATAATGTGCAGTGTTCCTTTCCTCCAAAGAAAAATAAATTGATTCCTTTGACTCCAGGGACGTATTTGCAGCATAGTCTTACACTGGCTTTTACATGTTGCTGCTTCCTCAAAGAATCCTGGGAATCAAAGCTAGAGTGTAAGGCTGGGAATCAAAGCTGGAGTGTAGCTCCAGACTTCAGAGAGACCTGGGAATGGTGCTAATGACATCCCTCCCCCCCCAAAAAAAACAACAACACACCAGGTCATGGCCCAGTCCTGATTGTGGTGAAAATGGCATAGTGGCTGTTGCACCACCGCTGCTTTGGTGGCAGTGCTGCTCTCCACGAGGTGCCTGGACATGCTACAGTGATGAATGGTGGTGGTGCTTTTGAATGGGAGCCAAGCTCAGTTCTCATCCATGGTGAACATCTGCCATCTTAAGTTACTCCAATGCAATGCTTGGCTCATAGATCTAGTTGGGCAAGGCTGGTATAAAGAAGGGACGTACCATAAGAGGAGGGATGCGGGTGGCGCTGTGTGTTAAACCACAGAGCCTAGGACTTGCCGATCAGAAGGTCGGCGGTTTGAATCCCCTCGACGGGGTGAGCTCCCATTACTTGGTCCCTGCTCCTGCCAACCTAGCAGTTCAAAAGCTCATCAAAGTGCAAGTAGATAAATAGGTACCGCTCCAGCGGGAAGATAAGTGGTGTTTCCGTGTGCTGCTCTGGTTCGCCAGAAGCAGCTTAGTCATGCTGGCCACATGACCCGGAAGCTGTATGCTGGCTCCCTCGGCCAATAAAGTGAGATGAGCCCCGCAACCCCAGAGTCGGCCACGACTGGACCTAACGGTCAGGGGTCCCTTTACCTTTACTTACCATAAGAGGCATAGGGGGCCAGGGAGGAACACCAAAAGCTGAAGGGGACCGGAGACTCAGGCCAGCTCGGCAGGACTTCCCAGCTGAAAGTGGCAGACCAGAGGACCAGATGCAGAAGGAGCTGGAAGCACAGGTGGTGCTGGTGCTCGCTTAACCCCTTTGGAACAGGATTGCCTATGGCTTAATGATGCAGTAGCATCACAACCATGAAGTGAGCATAGGAGGAGTAGCAGGGAGAAGTTATCATTGCTTGCACCTGTATAATTTTAAGGCATCATTCTGGAAGTCTGAGTTTCCTGGTCTCTCTGGGCAGGTGAAGTCTTCACTTGTTGCTGTTCTTGCTTGGAGAGAAAACCTGCAACTAATCCACTAGCCCCTGTTCCTCTGAATCATCTTCCTGATATATATCAAAACATCTTTCTCAATGCCAGAATTTTTTTTTTTTTTTTTGGGTAGTGGAAATTAGACTTAAGGAATATGTGCCTGTCTTCTGACCTCACAAATCCTTGTAAATATATACTTGTGAATAGGGCATTTGGACTTAATATCGTGTGCTCCAGACTTGTAATTAGGTAAATCTGATAGTTCATCCAGATAATTATCTCCCTTGTCAAGCACACAATTAAGCTTAATTAACTGCAGCTTTAATGCTAGAAGGAATATTGATGGGTTCTCAGCACTAATATTCATTGTGACATGCAGTGCAGATATTAAAGCATGACCATTTATATTTGGATATTGCTGATACAAACTATGTTTAATTTGGCTTAACAAAAGTAATTCCAAAGAATTAAGTTGCATGTGCACCTACTAACTGGATCCTCATTTTTTGGTATGAATTAAAGGCAGTTTAAAGGAAAGGTAATTAGTGGCTACATCTAATTACTTGTGGATTACTGAAAGCAAATCACTTGATCATTTCTGTTTTCTCCCATTAAAATTTGCTTTTCTACATAATACCAGTTTCTTAACTTGCCTGCTTTCTTGTGCTCATACTATTGTAAAGAAAGCAAGTTTTTTAAAAAATTGAAATAGTATTGCATTTGCAGTAGTATAATGTTTTGTAGAGAGTTGGAGCTGGGTTGGTCCTTTTGAATGAAGCCTTGCACCTGTTCTGGTGCTATGATGGTTGCATTCAGTGCTGTTATTACTTGGACCATTGTAAACCATCTTCTTTTTTGACATTCACGTAGTAGCTGATTGTTGAGGGGTCTGTATGCTTTGCACAGTATTTCATCATGCTCGATAAGTACATATTGAAAAGTTACAGGTAGGTAGCTGTGTTGGTCTGCCGTAGTCAAAACAAAATAAAACAATTCTTTAATATAAAAGAAGTGTGCATGCACACGAAAGCTCATACCAATAACAAACTTAGTTGGTCTCTAAGATGCTACTGGAAGGATTTTTTTTATTTTACATATTGAATGTGGACCAATCTTGGAACAACCTTGCAAACAAAGTTCATAACAGCTTTTTTGCTAGTTGACTGCAAAGACCCCCTGTACCGGCCATTTGTGGCCTAAAAGAAGGCAGGGGGTGGAAAACCTTTTCTGCCTTGTGGCCTGGAGTTGGTCCTTGCCACAAACAAATCAAACAAAAGTCTTCTTATAAGGTTGGCTTAGAACCCAACAGGGAGGCCAGTTAAGGAGAAATCTTAAATGACATCAGTGGGGTTGACAATGGAATTTTAAGTATGTTTACTCAGAAGTAAGCTCTATGTTCAGTGGGATTTGCTCTCTCAAAGTGTTCTTGGGATTTTGACCATAGACAGTTTATTCTGTATGCTTTAGCTCTGGGTGGGCAATGGGTTTATTGGCTTGGATCCAAGGTGAATGGTCAGGCCCTTTTGCTTTTGCAAGGCATCCCCAACCAAATTCTTCTCATTTCCTTATCCTGCCCCAGAGACCCCTGTGCTCCAACTCTTGTTCTTTCAAAGAGTCACTTGATCCTTAGGGTCACCTTTAGGAAGTTTTCAGGGTGTTATATCAGGAAAGACACAATGACGGGTCACACTCGTGATGCCATTTCAAATACTTTGGGCAACATCCAACTTTATTCACTTTATTCAGTAATAAGAAACACACTGAACTAAATAAAAATCCATTTATTTCAATGGGTTTGCTCAGGGTACGGCTAACGTTGGAGATCACGCTTTATATACTGTTTTCATAAATAATGCTTAAGCCCATTTTGGTATTTCTTGGGTGTGTGAAGCAAATTAATGAACTACATTGATAGGAACAGTGGTCCCCAAACTTGCATCCCACTGGATGACCTGAAAATTATTGAGGGTGGTGGTTGGTGCTGACCTGTGATCAGGTTTTTGCTCTTTCTGTAGGTGAGACGTTTGAACTACTTATACTTTGTCTTTTCTACTGTTCCAGGAGCAGTTGACGTATCATACCGCAGCCCAATTGCATGCTGGTTTAGCGCAATGCTTTACTGTTTTGGTGGCTCCATCTTATCTTCGCTGATGCTTGCAGAACCTCCAGTTGGATTTCTTGCCAACACCACAAATGTCTTGCTTGCCTCGTCAGTCTGGTAAGCAGCTTTTACGATGAAGGATGTTGCCTAAAACTTAAATCTGTGCTCAAAGTCATGGAATGCAGCTTCAGAGTTTTAGAGCTGCCATCCGAGTCAAAGAATCTAGGTCAGTTAATTGTGTGAGTTTTAATAGATTAAATCTGCATAGTTTTGCATATGAATGAATAAATAAAAATATTCAGGGCCCAAGAGAATTGGGTGTCTGCAATTGGTGGTTTTAAAATATGCTTTTTGATACAAGTTGTTGTCTGGGCACCTCGTTGAAAAAGGTTTTTATTCAATTTAATCAATTAGTTAACACAGTGTTGCACCTGTAATTAGAAACTATTCAAATGCTAAAAATTGGGTGTTTATATAGACGTGCATAAAAAGAGCAATTGGTGCACTTGACACAATATGTACATATAGTTATTTTGGTTCATGGGGTAGCTTGGGGAAGGTGAATAATCTGCAGGTTTTCCTATATAGTGTGCTGTTCACAGTCCTGACTAGCTGATCCCTGTGAAGTCAGGAACCCTCTTCTCTTGTGTGTGTCCCCGCCCCCATGCTGTTTTACATGGTTTTTATTTTTAACCAAAGAGCACTGGGTGTATGTTAGATTGACTAAAATAAAACGCTGCACTAAAGAAAAGAAAAAACTTTGAAAGGCAATAATACATCCTGTCTCAATTGTGGGGTTAGACCTGTTACTTCAGAACACTGGCAGGTACGTCTGTCTTTCAGGAGGAAATGGGGCTTGCCCTGCTCAGAGTGAGCAGTTACTGTTTTCAGGTTCATTTTGAATGCTCTCATCGACGCCTTTCTCATAAAGGCTGCAGTCTTAGTTACCTACCTGAAACTCAGCTTCTAGTAAGTATAGATCAGATTGGGCTGCTTACCTTGGTAAATGGAAGCCAGTCATTCAGTTTACCGCATTAAGATTTGCATTTTTGTGCGTATTAGAGCCACCTTTCCTCCAAGGAGCTCAAGGTGACATATATGGTTCTCCTCCTACCCCTTTTATCCTCGCAACAACCCTGTGAAGTAGGTTCAGCTGGGGAATTGACCCCTGGTCTTCCAAGTCCTAGTCCAGTACTCTGAACACTACACTTCTAGTCTTTCAGAACATTGGAGTTAGGAGAAAGGCAGAAAATTGGTACGTGCAAACTAGTAATTACTGTGAGCTAGATTTGTCCTCCATGTGAATTTCCAACTAGCTGTGAGGCCCAGTAATAGGACTTAGCAGTGTTCGTAACTGGCACAGAACAGTATCTTTTTATGCGTGCATAAAGTGCATGTTGTTCCCTTTCGGACTTTTTCCTAATTAGTGAAGCTCATTAACAGTTTTGAGTTGGGGTTGAATTTATGAATCTTAGCCCTTCTTTAGCTGCTGTGACACTAGCTGTGGAATGGATGCAACTCTCTTCCACTGTTTCTTAACCCACATTTGGGTGGGGTGAATGCTTTTGGGGTCTTTTTTTTTTTGGTTGGGAGTTTTCCCTTCACTATAGTAGTTTCTCAGATTAAGCGGTACTAACATCATCTTACTAGAAGTTCATCGGTATGAGAATGTGCTTTGATTTAGGTCGCCATTAATCAGAATAATTGGGTCTCCTGGCCTGAAAAACAAAGCATGCATTTTCTGGCTCAGACCCTAACTTTTCTTCCGTAAACAGAACAGAGTTGGTGTTCATGGAAAGGCCTTTTGCTTCACTCTGCAGCCTGCTGCACCCTGCCACCCCAAAACCCCTGTCCCTATAAGTTGGGGGGTCCTGTTGATGCATCAGGTAGTTGGGTGACAATGTAACCCCCCTCAGGATTCAAGTCCATGTGTTTACCGTCATCCTATACTCGTCCTAGAATCCAAAAATCTCATTATGAGATGCCATTCTGAGCCGTATCCATTGCTTGGCATAGGAAGAAGCTATAGGGAGGTATAGTTGAAGCTGCTATTCAATAACCACAGACTTAGAATCATAGAGTTGGAATAGACCACAAGGGCCATCGAGTCCAACCCCCTGCCAAGCAGGACTTAAAGAAAGGCAGAAAATTGGTACGTGGAGGACTTAAACGGTGCCTTATTAAAATTAACTGATTGATTGATAAAACACTCCAGTTATTCAGGCAAATTAAGGCCAAGGAAAAAATAACTTCATTGCCTTGTTTCTTGCTATCACACTTAAAGGATGCCACCATCCTTAATAGGATAGCTTGAATGTATATTCATTCACCATCATCTCTACTTTAAGGTGCATCTATTAGGATAAGAAGCAGTTTTCCTAAAGCATTTAGGGAAGGTGAGTCCCCCCCCCCAGCAAAAAAAACCCTGCCCGCCTTGCTGGTGTATTTGGGATGTACAACATACTGATTTTGTGCTACATACATCATGAGGACCTCCTGTTTTTTCTTACATATAGATTGTGCCCATGCAGAAAAACAGTGGGGTTTTGTGGCCCCCCAGCAGTTGTTTCTGGGGCCCCATCAGGACCCCAAGCTGAGTGCTAGCCACCTCTGGTGCAAGGGATTCTATATGACCTTGGTTAATGACACTGCTATCATTATTAAAAGTAAGCATGGCAAATGCACTATCAGGGTCCTGTTTTCTGCAGTTGAATCTTTTAATATATCTGAGAAGTAGGTGTTTAAACCTTTCCCCTCTCATCCTCTGAAAATGCTTCACAAGGAATTGGATTGGAGAAGGTGCAGCCCCTTGATGTGTGAAGTGGTGTGTGGATGCTTCCTTCAAAATAGAAGGAAAGTTCTGAAGATTGCTGTCAGATGCATCACAGAACAAACCAAGAACCCAAGTGACAAGTGTGAAATGCTTTGTTTTCACTCATTTACATGTTGAAGTATGAGCCCTATTGACTTCAGCAGCTGACCATTTAGGAATGTTGTTACTGCATATAAAAAATACAGCCGACTTTAGAATTGTGTAGAATGCTGCCTCCATTACTGCATAAAATCTGAAATGAAACTTTCCCCCTTCACTGGGAAAAAAAATCCATCAATAAGAGACTGGCAAATTAAATTTTGCAAATATATAGTTCTGGCAAGACTTGCGGCAGTGATAAGAGGACAATCAGATAAAAAACTGATCGAAGAGTGGGATTGTGTAAAGGAGTACATGAAAAACATTGTTCTGGCATAAACATATCTATATGCAATGAATGAAGTTTAAAGACAGGGAGAAGTTGGGTATAAGAGGTATAAAGGCAAAATATTATTGATAACACAACAATTAAAATAAAAGAGAAAGAAGGAAGTCATACACAGGTGGAGGGAAGTCAAGATTTGTGTACTTTTGTTTGGGTTTTTTTTGTATTTTAGGTTGGTATCTTTTTTCGTTTGCTGTTTCTCTTATTTTTTATGTTACCTTGATGTTGTCTATTCTGTTTGTTTCGTGTTTTTTGTTATTGTAACTAGCAATAAAAAATAAAAGAACCTTTTCCCCTTCACTGAACAAGCCAAGCTAATAGAGATTCTGTTATGGCTGTCAACTAGTGACATCTACTGGCACCTATTGGAAACATCTCTCAGCATTCTACAAGAGCCAGTCTTATTTATTATAAATGCCTGATTTGAATACTATATACTATTTCCTCCTCTGACTAGGACATAATGAGGAATCTGCTGTTCTTCTTATACAGCAGAGGCAATTATGCACATGCATTGCTATGACTTTGCATGAAAGGAATGTGCCTCTAGAGTTGTGAAGGCACAGAAGAAAACTGGAAAAACAAAAGCTGGCTGTTCCCCTCCAATTCTTCTTCTTGTGTCCCCTCTCCCTTGGAAAAAAAAAAGGGATTTCACAGGTGTACGGTAATGAGCAAATATTGTGTAATACCACTTCTCTAATGAGATCAAAATCACCACTGAGCAGTCTCCTAATTTATTATAGATCCTTGGCCAGCGACTAGTTTTACAAGCAAATTTGAGAGAGGATGGAGAGTGGCGGTTCAGACTACCCTGTGTGGTTCGCCAGACTGCGCTGTCAAACAGACCCACAGAGAAACCACTTCTTCCACCTGCTCCTATCCGAGTTAAACACTCAGATATTTGAGCCTAGGTGCCAAATGGCTCCTTAAATGTCAAGTTGCCATTTTTCAATACAGCTTTTTGGTTCCTGAAATACGTTCTGATTGTGCAGATAAAATATAATGGGTAAAATTCTGCAGGATGTGTTGCTCGTGTGTAGAAACAGGCAAGATCCAAGGATCTTCAGGCATGCACCTCCAGGTGGTGGAGACATTAGGCGCCTTCCTGGCACCTGGGCATCTTCACCTGGTTGCAAATGGCCAATAGTCAGGTGCAAAGTGCAGAATTTCAAACAGTATCCACTGGTGTTTCCTAGGAGGGCAGGTCTGGCATTGCAAATTCCTGTTGAAGACTATTGCACTAGGGTGCTAGGGAAAGATCTGCTTCATAAGCAAAGATAATTTGACCTGTCTGGGGAAAAAAATACCCATCTTGTGCAATGTTTCCAAATGTAAGCTTATTTTTAAAAAGATTTTCACCCACTGCACCTGCTGGAGGTTAGGGAGAGTCTATTGTGTTAAGACAACTCACGTGCTAAATCGAAGCCCTGCGTATTATTATTATTAAATATAGATGTTAAGACACGTATGTGGATTCTGAGAAGGGGAAAAGCAAGGTCCATATAGTGAAGTCACAACTGTTGGCTTGCAATAATAAAGCATATCTGTGCGGATTGAAGAAGGCAGAGATGCTTGGCCCTCTGAGCTTCCATTGGCACACGAGCGGGCATCTGAGGAAGGCTTATTCCTTTGGCATGCCGATGGAGAGAGATGGGAGAAGGCTGGTGAAACCTGATGAAGAGATCTCCTCTGATCCTGACAGTAAACCAGCAGCATCTCTGTTCACTCTGTCAGCTGACGTGCTTGATTTTCAATCAAATTTGGCAGTGGGAGGGAGATGGTAATGAAAATGATGTCTCTTTGTTAAAGGAGCCTGTAGAGGCAGAGGCAAAAGGGGAGAGCAATAGATGATTAGGAGGAAGCGAGTAAAATGCTGCCTACCAGGCCTTTATTTATAATTGTTCAACCTTTGTGCTGGGGTGGAACAGTGAGGGAATATATATATCTTTCAATAAGTGAATGGGAGGGAAAGATTGTTCAGAGCTAGACAAAATGCTCATGTAATTGCCCCTGCTCCTATAGGTATGTGGAGAGAGTTACTCGTGCAATTGCACCATTGGTGAATGCATGTTTCGGGCTCCTAGCCTATTTTCCCCAAATTTGGGGGCTTTAGGAAAATGCTGCATTTGTACATTAGAAGTGTAATATTAAGGGGATACGTGTGGACTAGACACAATGGATGCGACTTTTTTTAATGCTATATACTTCTTTAAAATGCCAGATCTTGATATACCACAAATAATGAGGTGTTGGCATTTGTTTTTTTTTAACAGCAGTTGTGTGTGTTTGTTTTTAACCAAAGAGCAGGGAAGGAGCCACGTGCCCACAATTTCAGCAGCACGCTGAAATATTTAATATTTGATAATTAAACCATAGCTTAGTTTTAAATATGGTTTAATACTACAGCGATGACTTCTTAACATCTAGCTTTTTAAAAAAAAGCCTTTATCAGTTTGTTTCATTTTGTCAGCATGCTTCCATTGCAAACATTGTGAAGTAGCTAAGGTTCAAACTTTTTCCCCAATTCTTTAGGTATCTTGTATTTTATTGTCCGCGTGATCTAGCCTACCGCTGTTTCTGTTTTCTACCTATACGACTGCTGCTTGCAGGGATGAAGGAAGTGACTAGAACGTGGAAAATAACTGGCGGGATTGCCCATGCACATCAGCACTACAAAAATGTCTGGTTAATCATGATAGTAGTTGGCTGGGCCAGAGGTAATGTATAAAAAATAATATATATATATATATATAAAAATATTTCAAATTTTAAGGGGAAATCTCAAGGGCAGTGGTTGCTAATTTGGGGGGGGGCATGGGCTGCACTGACACATAGTGAACCCTCTGTAAAATAAATCAGTATGGCCAATTATTATTATTTTAAAGGACACTGGGGCGGCTCACAAAAATCATGGGCATTTCAGGTGACATTTTGGGGGCACGAGAATGGGTGTGTGCAGACTGTATATGGGTTGTGTGGATTAGGCACCACTGTTCTATGAAATGGTATTGCACCCCGGGCCACTCTTAGAAGAAAAACCAATTTAAATCCATCCTGTTAATGTGTTCTTCCCCCTCGCTCCCCCCTGCCTCTCACCACTGCCACCCCCTTCTTGGCTGCTCCTTAGAGCCATGAAGCTCAATCCTGCTCAAGTTTAGTTCCATCCTCCAGAGGAAAAGAACTCATGCCTAAGGTTTCAGCCTTCGTCACATGTTGCTGTTTATGTGGCCTCTGAATAAGATGTCCCTAGTTTAGCTTTCAGTTTTACTGACGAATGCTGTTCTTGGATAAGAGCCGCTTATAGGTGCTCTCATTTTATTACGGAATTCCACCTCTGCCAGGTATAACACTAGCAGGGGCATTTATATTTCTACGTCAGCTCTGACAGGTTTGTTTAAAGCTCAAATTATAAGGCAGCAATCCATAGGTAGGAGATGGGGAGGTCAGCACGGTGGACGTGAGGGCAGGGGAGTGTTTTTGTGCTTTTTCATCCTTTTTTAAAAATGTAAACATTGGAAATGGTGGAAAGGGAATATACTACAGTAGCTCCAGTTTGGTTTAGTTACATATAACTAAACTGCTAGCTTTCACATCCTCTTCCATATGTGTGCTGCAAAAGGCTCTTTTGGTGAGAGCTGACAAGTGATGGGTGTTTCAAAAAGGGTTCAAGAGTTGCAGTCATGGTGTTTAAAAACAGAACACTGGTTTGTCCCTCCTCTGCCAGGTCCCAGTAGGCTAGTCAAATGTTTTTTGTAGACTTAATAACTTTTGTGAGACTTTTATAGGGCTGGACTACTACTTCCATGAGTTTGGTGTCTTTCTTCTGGAGTAGTCACAGGGAAGAGTGGAAGTCATTCTATGAGCCCTTAATGGGTGCATAATCTCTGTGTTGCTATTGCTTTGTAAGCAAGAAGAGATTTTGTGCTTAACTTCAGTAAGATATAGGAATCTCTCTCTCTTGAAGCTTTTTTTTACTAAATGGACAATCACAGATTCTAAGGTCCAGCATACCAGGTGATGTTGGCTGCTGTCACCATTATTATTATTATTATTATTATTATTATTATTATTATTTATTATTAAGCTTTGACAAAATTTAAGATCCTTGTTGAATTAATTTCCCCCCTGAAATATTAGGTGCTTGCCCCTGACAATAGGATGCTTTCAAATGAGTCTCAAATTGAGGACCCAATTTCAAAAATTGTGAAGTAGGTCATTCCATTTGTGCCTATAACTTGAGGGCTATATCCTGCTCCTTTTAGAAAGGGACGTGAGCAGCTTTGCAGTTGTCCTGACTGGAAGCAGAATTGAGTGTCGTCAGATCTTCTGGAACCAATTTTATGCATGTAATAATTTCTTGTTGAATTGCAGGAGCTGGGGGCGGCCTAATATCTAACTTTGAGCAGTTAGTGAGAGGTGTGTGGAAGCCAGAAACTAATGAACTGCTGAAGATGTCCTAGTAAGTCAATGAAAAGCACGTAACAATTGGCACAGTCCTGGGAATGTTCTTTCTTTGTATTGAAAGTAGCACTGTATGAGTAGTTCTTCAGTAACATGACTCTTCTATAATAAATTAGTGTGCTTCAAACTTCCTGCCTGGAGGGAGAACTGTCCGTGCCGGTTTGCTGCTGAGGAACCCCAAAATATCTGCTACCAAACTGTCGCATGTTGTAGTATTGGTTTCTAGAAAACCTATTAGTTTTGCTCTATATGAATTGGGTAAAAAGATAAAGGTAAAGAGGACCCCTGACAGTTAAGTCCAGTCGCAAACGACTCTGGGGTTGCAGCACTCATCTCGCTTTACTGGCCAAGGGAGCCGACATTTGTCCGCAGACAGTTTTTCCAGGTCATGTGGCCAGCCTGACTAAGCCACTTTGGGCAAAACCAGAGCAGCGCACGGAAACACTGTTTACCTTCCCGCCAGAGTGGTACCTATTTATCTACTTGCACTTTGACGTGCTTTCGAGCTGCTAGGTTGGCAGGAGCTGGGACTGAGCAACGGGAGCTCACCCCGTTGCGGGGATTCGAACCGCCAACCTTCCGATCAGCAAGCCCTGGGCTCAGTGGTTTAGACCACAGCGCCACCTGCATCCCTGGGTAGGACCGGGCAAATACAGAGCGCTAGAGTGCTCTGTATTCTTGTGGTTTATCACATGGGAAAGTGAGCAAAGCAGTGCACATATAACCACATAAAGATGATGAAGAGTCTATGGCTGCAAGCCACAGCTCCTCAGAAGTAAGTACTATTGACTTCATATGGAGTTCATCTTAAATTACCTGTCTGCACTGCTGCCCACAGGGAAGGGGAGCTGAGGAACAAGGCAGCAGAGAGCTTCATTGAAGAGCCCTATGGGGCCTCTCAAGTAAAGACGCTGGCAGTGACTTCCGCTGGGGATCACCGTGGCTGTTGACTTGTCCTGCGACCTGCTGCGTTTTATGCCCCATTCCTCTTATCATTTAAAATGAAGCTGCTAAAAGCACTCATTCAGAGTTTGGAAGTATATTGACGACACCCAGCAAAGGCATATGATCATAGAATTGTAGAGCTGGAAGGGACCACAAGGGTTAATTTGTCCCATCCCCTGCAGTGCGGGATTTTTTTTTGCCCAACCCATGGCCCTAAGATTAAGAATCTCATGCTCTACCGACTGAGCTATCCCAGACTTCTTTCCCCTTCTTCCATTCCCAGCGAGGTGATGAAACCCTTGAACGGTTGCCTGGAAGAGGTGATGGGTTGCATGCAGGCTAATAAATAGAAGCTCAGCCTATTCTCTCTCTCTCTCTCTCCCCCCCCCCCCCCCGTTTATGGTTTCATATCCTGCTTAGTAAACTGAGATTGACAGCTCTTCCATATACATGCCTACTTGGGGCATAAAGTCAATATAACTTATTCCTAGGTGAGGAAGTATAGAATTGCAGCCTTAAACCACAGTTTCTGAATTCAGATGTACCTGGAAAACCAGGGTTATAACAAACCATGATTGAAACGCTAAAGCTGCCATCTTGAGTGCAGGATTGGGACAACAGCATGGGTCTAACTCTCATTCTGTGCTTTGAAAACCAAGATAAGTAAAGGTAAAGGTACCCCTGCCCGTACGGGCCAGTCTTGACAGACTCTAGGGTTGTGCGCCCATCTCACTCAAGAGGCCGGGAGCCAGCGCTGTCCAGAGACACTTCTGGGTCACGTGGCCAGCGTGACATCGCTGCTCTGGCGAGCCAGAGCCGCACACGGAAACGCCGTTTACCTTCCCGCTAGTAAGTGGTCCCTATTTATCTACTTGCACCCGGGAGTGCTTTCGAACTGCTAGGTTGGCAGGCGCTGGGACTGAACAACGGGAGCGCACCCCGCCGCGGGGATTCGAACCGCCGACCTTTCGATTGGCAAGCCCTAGGCGCTGAGGCTTTTACCCACAGCACCACCTGCATCCCCTGAAAATAGTGAAAACCAAGATAGATGAAGCAAATATAGCTTCATCGGAAGTGGTCCTTTCAGAACCAAACTGTAAGAGTATAGTGCAGGGTTTCCCAAACTTAGCTGTTTTTGGACTCTAATTCCCATCATCCCTAGCTAGCAGGACCAGTGGTCAGGGATGATGGGTATTGTAGTCCAAAAACAGCTGGAGATCCCAATTTGGGAAACTCTGGTCTAGTGTTAGGCAGATCAAGTGGGATATAAATCAAAAATAGTCTTTCTTTGACTTTCATTGGCAAGTGTGTTGGCAACAGGAGTCTGGGGAATAGCTACAGTTGCAGTCGAAATGATTCAGCTCCTATTGCAAATCAGGTTTATTATCAAACTTTACAGACATTCAACTGTTTGCAATGCGGGGGGTTGAATAATAGTGAGACTGGAGAAGCGAGCATAAGTTACAATTTCAGCTGAATTGGGGGAACTACTCGAAGCATCCGTTTGTGTTCAGCTATTTCAATTGCTTTTGTTTGATTTGCTCGTTGCAAACAGCTGAAAGTCTGTAAATTTTTATTATAAACCTGATTTGCAAATGGGGGTGGGGGTGGTTTGAATCATTTCGATTGCAACTGTAAATCCTTTTCCTGTCCCACCTACTGATGCAAGGGATTACCGGGTTTGTGGGAATAGGGCAGGCAAACTGAACCTTAACAGCAGGGATAACCTCGTGTGATTTGTTAGGTAAGGGAAATAGTATCAGCCACTCATCGGGTTGAAAAATAAAAGTTAAAACTCTGCTCTTAAGGATTAAACTCTGCCGAGAGCTAAACCTGTTTACCACCCCAATCCTGACACTGACACTGTACATCACGGGTAGGGAACCTGTGACCCTTGTTGGACTTTAGTCTCCCACCAGCGTCACTCAGCATGGCCAGCGATCAGTGATGATGGGAATAGTAGCTGTAGACCACCCAGATTTGCGCATTCCTTATCCCTAGTCTTGCGCAGGAGGGAAATCTTGTCAGGGGTCCTTGCAATGTGTGCCACCAGCCCTGCCTTTTGCTGAACGCATCCCCAAAGCACCCTGCCAGTCATAGTGACGGGCACTTCACCAGTGTCTGACAAAACGTCAGCTTCAAAGCAGTAACTGAAATTAATCGGGAACGAAAAGTTCAGGTTTTGTGGGGATGCGAGAGCCTGCTCAAGAAGGCGAGCCGCATTAGTATGCTGTTCAGAGCGTGCCTCTGGCGCACGGGGGAATACTGCTTGAGTTACAGCTTTCAGCTCAGGTTTGCAGAAGCTAAATTGGGAATGTTAAATCACTCCCAATTTAACTTCTGCCATGGGAAGTACAAAAAGAGCTGGAGCAGGCTGTCAGGCCCCAGCTGCTCCTCCAGAGGGGGAAACAAGCTCATGGTGGGCATTTTAAAGTCCCTTTGCCCTTCCTCTCTGACTTCCTGGCAGGGTTTCCTTTGCGGAAGTGATTATTTTGAAAAGACTGCTGCCACTACTAGTGTGATAAAAGCAGCAGGAGTGCCAAAGCACTTAGGCATCCTGCTTCCAGCCACTATCCTAGGTAATAAAGAATGACAGGAGAGAAACACAGCATCGCAGGCAGAGCTGTTGCCAAAAGTCGGCGTTGTCTCTTCTCCCTCTTGACCCACCCGCTTAGCTTTGTGTGTGTGTGTTTGTGGTATGAGCTGCCTTTTGTTGTTGTTGGGCGTGTGTAGGTGACCTAAATCCTTCAGCTGTGAAGAGAAATGCAATTTTTGTCAGTTTAACGTGCCACAGATGTATTTTTTCCTCTCTTAAAGCTATATGCTGGTCAATGCAAGGCAGAGCATTGCATGTTTTGAAGAGAGGAAACTTGAAGCTCATGAAAGGAGCAATGTTTCTCAGGAGCTCCTCTTGCGACAATATCACTGAGTTGAGAACTTCAGGATTTTAAAAAGGGCTATGCATAGATTGATATTTTCTATTACTGCACAATGCAATTTAGTTCTGGATTATACATTGCTCCTAAGGAGAATTTAGGAACTCCTAAGGTACCAGCTGCTGCCAACCTAGCAGTTCAAAACCACGTCAAGTGCAAGTAGATAAATAAGTACTGCTCTGGTGGGAAGGTAAATGGCGTTTCTGTGCACTGCTCTGGTTCACCAGAAGCAGCTTTGTCATACTGGCCACATGACCCGGAAGCTGTCTGCGGACAAACTCCTACTCCGTTGGCCTTTAGAGAGAGATCAGTGCGCAACCCCAGAGTCGTCCGCAACTGAACCTAACGGTCAGGGGTACCTTTATCTTTAAGGTTCCTAAGGTGGGGAACTTGTTTTTCAGCCAGAGGGTGGCATTCCTTCATGTGAAACCTCCCCGGCGGACTGCCTGCAAATGCTGAGCAGGGCCAGAGGCAAATGTGGCTAGACTAGAGCAACAGATGTGCCTCTTTTGTATGTTTCGGCCACCCAAAAGTCAGAGGTTTTGGCACACACCTCCCACTCCATCCAGGCGAGCAAGAGGCAGTGCCAAAGTTCAGAGACACCTTCCAGCTAGGCAAAGCACTTGAGGGCATGGAGGACAGGCAGTGCAGGGTGTGTCCTGGGAAGAAGAGGCCAGGGAGACCATAGAAAGGACTAGATAAGATGGATTGGGGGGGGATTTCTGCCCCACCCCCCGGCGTGAGGTTACCTACCTCTTCTCTAAGCCACAGTTTTGGGAATTTTCGAAGTGCCTTTAACAAGGGGCCTGCTTCATAGGGTGCTGGCAGAGATCTCCCTGGTGAACCAAGGGGAAGACAAATGCATGTTAAACAATTACTGTATTTTTTGCTCCGTAAAATGCACCTGACCATAAGACGCACCTAGTTTTTAGAGGGGGAAAGCAAGAAAGAAAATATTCTGCGCAGAGCATGTAAGCGGCTCTCGCTTTTCTTGCTTTAAACACTTCCGTCCCTCCTCCCGCTTCGCTGAGAAGCCAGCAGAGCAAAAGTGATAGCTGCTCAGCGCCTCTTCTGCTGGCTTCCCAGCAAAGCGGGATGAGGGACAAAAGGGAGCCCTTACAAGGGAGCGCTGAGCAGAGCCTGTATGCATCCCAGATGTGACTGCAGGCAGGAGGCTCTGCTCAGCGCTCCCTTTAAAGAGCTGCGCGGAGCTGGCTTTTCCCCGAGGAGAGAGAAGGGCAGCCCATCAGTCCCTTCTCCCACCTTGTGGAAAAGCCCCCACGAGCCACACACACGCTCCGTGTGGCTCTTTAAAGGGAGCGCTGAGCAGGGCCTCCCACCTGCGTTTGCTCCATAAGACGTGCACACATTTCCCCTTACTTTTTAGGAGGGGAAAAATGCACCTTATGGAGCGAAAAATACGGTAGCCCCTTTTATGTTCTGCAGAGGGCAGGAGCTTTGTTCTTTTACAATCTCCAGCCATCAACTCACTGGTTGACTTGGGCAAGCTTTTATTCAGTAAGTTTGTCAACATGGCATGCCTGTCTGCAATGTTGCCATGCTACTTTACAGAGATGGTGTAAGGATTAGCGAGACGAATGTTTGTGAAGTGTTTTGAGCAAAGCGCTCTTATAAAATGTCTAGTGGAAGTAGTGGTAAAGATTCGAGAAAGACAGGTGCATCGCGGTAGAAACGGAGGAATTCTCATTTCTGTTGTATAAAATCCAGATCTATTTCTTAGCAAGACTAGTAAACAGTTCCCAATCTGTTGTTGCAGCGCTTTCAACCAATTATGGATTTTTTGGCTGGTTAATCATTTGCCCTGTTTCTGCTCAACAAGTCTCATTGAGCTGTGTTACATGTTAAATAAACCTGTGGGTGGAATTCAACATTGCATTATCTGCTTATAAAGACCTTTGAATTCTGGGTCTTGGGATTCTTATCAAGTGCTTCCTCCCATATGAAGCTCTCTGAGGCTTAAGAGGTGTTTTCAAGCCCTGATTTCAAATTCTTGCATGCTTTCAAGTCAGGCTTTCATAAGAAGCAGAAACTGCCTTTCTGTTACTGCTCCAGAGGTTTGGATCACCTGCTTGCAGTCTATTCTAGAAACCAGGAAGCTTAGTTGGGTCAGAATCGAATGTACACTTCCACAGTTAATGATAAATACATGACTGCTGGCAAATAAGCCACCATAGCCATTAGAGGGCCATGATAATTCGAGTTCCGGGCATTTTAGACTCTTCTACCCATGTACAGTATTATTTGAAACCCAAGAAGCACATTGGTTGCCTGATGTGAAATTATTTTCAACTTTCCTATCCCACTAAGACAACTAGGTTTTGTTGTCTTTGGGGGAGTTTGCCTTTATTTTTCTGCTGCTTGGTTTTCCAGTTTTTATTTTAATTGTTATGTTTGATTTTATATACATTACTTGATGAGAGGGATAGAAACCACACCAGTAATGTATGTATACTACCTAAACAGGTGATTATAAAAAAGTTACTGAGTTAAAAAGTTAAAACAACGACTTAATAAAGGGAGTTTACCAC